AAACAAGCAGTTGTAAAATAAACATATATACACACATACAATTAGTATGAGATATTGTTCAAATGAATTCGATTGCCATTGTTAAAATGGCTGCGGAAAATTGGACTTTGTCGGTTGTTGGGAATGCACGAATTAATTTGTTGCACTGAAATAGTCTGTTGACATTGTGTTGGTTGAATACCGCTATGAAGTATTATAAGGATGGACGTCTTACAGTTGAAAGGGTAAATCATTTTTCCACCAAAAAAACAATTTTTTAATAATATAATTTACTTGTCTGGCTTATCAAACCAGAGACACATCACAGTATTTTAAGTAGAAGTGTAATATCTTTATTACAAAATCATTGCCAACCAACAGATTGATTGTAAGTAGTTATAGCATAATATATTTCCCGTTTGAAGTAACGAGGTCCATACTCGAGAAACATAGTAAAACATGTACCGAGGAGTGTAGGAAAATATCGGATGGATCGCCTGGTAGTTTATTGTACTGTACCGGTATGTCTGTTTATTGATTTTGCACTTGCAGTAAAAAAAAAAAAATTCAATAAAAAACCAACTCGGTAATCAATTAGGTAGCCGGAAGAGGAAAGGAGTATTTCTTGGTTCTGAAATTGCTGGGCAAACACCGTTCGGGCAAAGCCCGTGACGCTTTCCTTAACGAATCGACGAGCATATTCCCCGTATGTTAGGTTAGCTGTATTGTCTATGTATAATATACATGTATATATTATGTAGGTACGAGTACATAAAACACTGTGTACCGTATAACACCATAAGACGTATCCATCGGTGCTGTATTTTCCAAAACGGATGATGATGATGATAGGCACCGAATCGAATGGAACGGCAAGCAACACTTCGCCGGCAGATGTTGCTGTTTTTGTGCACTTACCGACGTCTTCGTCATTGTATGACACAATATATATATATATATATATATATATATATACATATAGACTTAACGTTATTATTATCATTATAATAATATGTGCACACAGGCGCACACAGGCAAAACGTTTCTGTACACGGACGGAAGCGGCGACGGCTGTGGCAAAGCGTTCGCCGAGTGACGCGCAACCATCGCGAAACGATAATAAGCCACACAAAACTACCTACATAATAATAATAATAATATATTATCTATCATTGTAATATATAACAGTGTAAAATTGTAATCGATAACGTTATGTTACAAGCGTACAAATTTCACGATATAGTTTACAAAACCACAGACAGGGTTGTCTATTCGTGTCTACATGGATACGTTATCGGGCTGGATACAAGAAATTTCATGTAGCCATTTTAGCGTTTCATTTTTACTTTCAGTTGGAGATAAGAGATAAGAGATAAATAATAATAGATAAATGATAAGAGATAACAGACCCATGATTGAATTTTTTCCGTAGAGCGAAGAAAACAACCAGGCTTTCTTGATTCGACTTACTTCTCTAAGCTCAATGAGCACAAACCAACACGAATTACTTTTAACCTGCGTTCCAAAAAAAAACCCATTTGTAATCCTAAATGATAAGACAGTCCCAGTGAACGATTGTAAATTCCATAAAATCATTAAAAAAAACCACATCAGCCTTCTGACTTCCAATCTTTTCTCTGCTGCTATCCCTGAGAATCACCCTAGTCACCTAATAAAGAATTGCCAACATCTATTAATGTCCAAATAACATTAAAAAAAAAACTAAATTTAATTTAATTTAACTACCATTATTTGTTGAGTTGTAATCTGAAGCAACGTCAGTGGACACCGCCTTCCTTTACACCACCTTGTTATTAGTATAGTCGTTATATTATTTTATTTACTCTCATTGTATTATGTTGTGTACAGATTGTACATTTTGTATTCTTAATAAAAAAATAAATTACTTTTTCGTATTTTACATATTACAGTCACGGTGTTATATAATAATAATATATTTTATATTGTTATTATTGTAGACTGTGCACTGTGCATAGGTATAAAGACTTAAACGATAGGACGAAATCGAATGTGACGATGCAATCGGCTATGATCATAGTTTCTTCATTATTACTTTACTTTTAGATATTATGCTTTTTTGCAATTTCGAAAATTACCCTCATCGCTTTATGTTGTTACCACCCAAACGGTTTTCGCTTTATTACATCAACCCGTTGTACTGTTTTCGAGGCACCGAAATAAGACTGAAAAATGCTGGGTCAAGTAATATTGATATTGTGTTTGTTAGTTACAGGGGTCGATTAAAAAGGACTCCGTATTATCATAAAATAATTTCCATTCCAATTTAGTGATTGAAAAAAAAAACACATAATATTATGTTACTTGTCCATAAATAAGCGTACAAGTCACAGAAAGCTTCGGCTTTTATACCACCGTGTTCACTAATTAATACCATGTCTATATAAATCAGGTCGTTAACAGCAACAGCTATGAGTCTATTTAATTGCAAAATATGGATTTTATCTTACAGTTGGTGAATCGTCGTGTGTGATTATCGACCATACTAATAAGGTAACCTGAACAAAGGTGCTTGGAATACATATTCCGAGGATGTTGAATAATATGGTAGTAAATTTATAATTATCAATTCAATTTTAATACTGTACCACTTCTGAATGTCATGTACTGGGTTTCGAAAGCTTTCATTAAATCAACAAGAGGTCCATATGATTGCAATTAAATGTATCGACATACCGCTAGTGGCTTTAATTTACAAATTGTTTAAATTAAATCACATTTTTTTAACATCCTGTAGTAATATTTTAGTAGTAAAGGCCTTGTCGATAGAGGCTTATTAGGTCTATCTCATACACAAAAGATGTACCTACACTATTTTATTAATTTACATATCATTTATGATGTGCTTTTTATTCGACGACGAGTTATTAATTTTGTTATGGTTGAAATTAGTTGCGTACAGTTTTTTATTATTTAGATAAAATTAAGAAAATATAACTACCTACTGAAAAGTGTAATCATTATCATTGCAAATTGTATAACTCCCTAAAGAACTGTTGTTAAATAAACACACAATCGATGAATAAGTAAATGTATAAATTATTATCGCAGAACATTCTAGAACGTTATACATATAAATGAAACGATTTTACTGTATTGATTACATTGTATTTGTATAGCGACCTAACAATATTACAGTTAGTTAAACATCAGCAACGGTTTTTTAGTTAAAATTATATTAACAACAACGGTAGACCAAATATTTGTAGTTATTATCGCTGTAAACGCAGCAAAAGTATGAGTTATAATATTATTGATTGTATATTGTATAAAATCGTTTGAATATAATATCAATGATGTATTTATATTGCAACTGCCTGTGTACTATGGCAGCTCGACATTTACACAATAATAACTCATTCGCTTAGACATCAAATGGTAGATTAAATAGGTTGTTAGTGTAATACAAAAATTATAGTTAATAATATTTTAAAATATTCAAATTAACTTTTCATAAAGTTCTCATAATACAGGTACCTGTGTACTATGATTCCTTGACAAACACCATTAAACAAAAAATTGTAGTAAAGAATACCCGGTTGTGTTAACTCAGGTGACTTAAAAACCTGTAGTCTAGCATTTTTTCTTTTTTTTTAACCAAAATATAAGGAAAATTAAACTTTGGCCCTAGTAAATTTCCAGGTTGATCAGGGACTTACAATCTTCTGACTTAATTCGAGTAATTAATAATGTTAGATTCGGTTGCCTAGTCCGGAGTCGTGCCGGTGTTGCATTTTCAATTCAGTTCTTATTTCGAATCCGGTTGTTGGGATCTGATTCTGGTCCAATTCTGAGTGAAATTAAAAATTTTTGAGTTACCCGAGTTTGACTCAGTCCGAGTATTCTCTACTACTATTTTTTTGTTTTATAATGTGTGCCAAGGAGTCAAAGTACTCAGGTACCTGTATTATATGAACTATATGACAGGGTAATTTAATAATTATTATTCAAATATTTTAATAGTTTTAAAATATTATTAACTATAATTTTTGTGTTACACTAACAACCTATCTAACCTACCATTTGATGTGTAACTGAATGGTTTGTTATTGTGTAAATTTCGAGCTGTCGTCGTATATAAGCAGTTGCAATATAAATACATCATTAATATTATATTCAAACGATTTTATACAATATACAATCAATAATATTGTAATTCATACTTTTACTGCGTTTACAGCGATAATAACTAAAAATATTTGGTCTACCGTTGCTGATGTTTAACTAGCTGTAATATTGTTAGGTAGTTATAAAAATACAATGTAATCAACACAATAAAATCGTTTCATTTATATATAAAGTTCTAGAATGTTCTGCGATAATAATTTATACATTTACTTGTTCATCGATTTTGTGTTTATTTTACATACACTGATTTAGGGTGTTATACAATTTTCAATGAAAGTTATTACACTTTTAAATAGGTAGCTATAATTTCTTAATTTTATCTAAATGATAAAAAACTGTGTGTAACTAATTTCAACCATAACAAAATTAATAACTCGCAAGCCGTCGAATAAAACGCATATCGTAAATGATATGTAAATTGATAAAATAATGTACATAATTTGTGTATGAGATAGCCCAAATAAGCCTCTTTCGACAAGTTTTTACTACTACAATAATATTATGGCCTGTTAAAAAAAATGTAATTATCATAACGTAGTTAAGGTTAATATATTTACTTATAAATATACCGTTAGTATGTTTAAGCGATTTCTCCTATTTTAAAAACAAAAAATATAACTTTATGCATATTATTGTGATTACAACGCTTTTGTCAGTAACAACAAACAATAATTCCTGTATAGACCTGTTCCTCTCCAGCCCCAATCGCTCACCACTATGCCCTTTTTTTTTTCCTTCATGTGCATTCTTAGAGAACCGGAGGAGGGCACTATGCCCTGACCTCACTCCAATGCGTTCTTGTTGGTTAATAGCGAAGATATTTTTTTTTTAATCTTAATTTTTTGTTTGTACAGAAGAGGTAGCAGCAGGGACAGTACGGCCATCGACACTGTTCTATGACGACGACACCAATATTCAGTTGGTCAGCGTGGACGTGCCCCCGTTGGTCCGGGCTACCGACGACACATACGAGGCGAACACCATATACTTGGTGTGCACCTACACGATGTACGGGGAAAACGGCGATGGGTCCAACCAGCAGAACGACTCGGCGAGGATGAAAATAAACGATTTGGACATGGAAAAATTGCAACAGCAAAAAGGCGTTGTGATCAAGTGGTTTTTCCGGCGAACGGTCAGTGACGAAGAGGAGAACAACTACACGGTACAAAGACAGGGTCTCCGCGAAGAGCTGGTGTACCAGTGGATAGCCGGAGCCGGTGTCAAGGACGGCAACGGCAACACCATCAATACCCTGCGGAATCGTGCCGTCGACGTCAGTTCCAAACCCCTGCCTGTGTTCATACCCAAGGGCGATAACTTGCTCCACCGAGTGCTCAAGATCTCCAAACCAACGCCCTCGCTGACGGGCGAATACAAGTGCAGGGTAGAGAGCTGGAAAGACGACGTCAACTCCAATTGGTATCCAATGATCGTACACAGTAAGTGTGTCAATCGTATCTATTTACCTGGTAGTAAAATGAGATTAACACCCTTCACAACTTCTCCACTAAGCAAAAAAAAAAATCGTGGGATTTTTTAGCTAAACCTAGACGAGCGTTTTCGTTTCAAGGCAAAATCCTTAGTAACCAAATCGACATTTTGTTCATAACATATTAAATTTAAGTTTAGTTAGGATGGAAAGAGAAGGGAATGGGATAGTGATAAGGGGAAATCTATGATTCCTGAATAGCTGATACCTGGAAAAGATACAATTGACAAGAGACAGAAAATCAGCTGGTCATAAAACCTAATCTAATGCTTTCCTTAAAAGAAAAATATTTATTTCTATTTGGCGTTGAACTAAAGTAAACCGTAATAGCCAGTGACTGCAATTAATTATTGGCCAATTCGAAAGTTTATAAGTTCATTTTCTTACCGAAATGTGAGGAGGCAACATTTTATTGGCACGTTCTTTTGACTTTCAAAAAAATTGCGAATTTTCTCCTAGTCTTCTCTGCATTATGCATTGCTTTGCTGTGTAGTCACACGGGTACCGGTTAGGCTTTTCAGTTTACCTTTTCTTTATCAGTTTTTTCGATGCAAATTGTGTCTCAGTCTCCAATTATTTGAAGGAAAACAAAAATGGGCAAAATAATGATACCATTTGGTCAATTATGCTTTGGCTCTATCCATTTTTTTTCTACTTAACCGGTTTTTACCTAAAAATTTTCCATCGTTCTAACGACATGCTTAAAACGTTGAGACGAGTTTCTTTATTTTATTGTTGTTTCTTCATGTTACTGTCATTTCTTCTTGGCTTTTCCTTTAAAAGACGTTCTCTAAGAATCTTCTATCCCTACTCAAAGTCAACCTTTTCATTCCGTGGGTGAATAATTTAAACTTTTTAGCGACTAGCTGGAGGTATAGAATTCAAAAGATGCGTTCGATATTTTCTCTCAACTGGAATAGTATGAAATTGTTTATTATTATTATAAAATGGAAAAAATACATCAGTTAAAGACAAGGAGGTGGAATATCCTAATTTAGCCCCCTCCCTTGACTGCTATTTTTAAGCGAAAGTGACCATCACGGTTGTCGTGAGTGTCGATATTAAATAATTATACGTACCATAATGATTTTTTACTTGTTTTCATGCCAAAACAAGATGAAGACAGGACCGATTTCCGCGGAGACCATATCCACTATAGTCTCATTGATAATTTTTTACTTTCTAAATTTTTGGAAATAAAAAAAATAATCTACAATCGCACAAAACCCCTCTCGATGCATGCGAAAATCGTTTTCTTAGTATATTATAAACATTAAAAAAATACTCTCTAACTAAAACTGGTCAATAGCATACACAGCCCGTCTTACCGTTTCTTGTTGTGTGCGCGTGTCAAGCGAATTATATTACATAGTTGCTTTATTGCAATTACGACAGGTTAATTAAAAACTACTGGCTTTAAAATGTCATTCGCTACAATTTATTATTACACAAATAACCTACCCAAAACGAGCTGTCGTACACAGGTAGTTTCACTATGAATATATCAACAATTTTTATATATAGTACTTATACAATAATAATATAGCCATCAATAACATTATAACTATTACTTTTACTGCGTTTACAGCGATAATAACTAACACAATAATTAGACCAACCGTCGTTGTGCATATTTTTTTAACTAAAAGCCGTCGCTGATATTTAACTAGCGATAATATTTTCTAGTAGTTATTGAAATACATTTAAACAATAAATTTCCTAACCTATTGATATTGTGTTTGTTTAACAAGCTTAATGTTATACAATTAAATATAATTACACTTAAATATTTATATCATAAAAATTATTTTTAATAAATAATATACCATTATTTATATTTAATATTCCTTGTGTTAAAAAACTTGTGATGAGACACATTACACTTTTCAATGCATTAAACTACAGAAACACACCGTGGTCTATAACCGGGAACTAACTTAAAAATTTAATTAAATATAATATACGTCACTATTGAGGTTTTAAAATGAATAGAGCTCTGGGAAAAAAATAAAAACATAAAAACTTGAATATTGTCTAATACTGAAAATAACCTTAACTACAGTGTCTCCAAAAGAAAAACTACAATATGGTAATTATTCCAAGAGAAGATAAGTGCCCCATGCCCCCATCCTTAATGAATCGCCCTGTTTATGTTGTTAGATGGCTTGACTATGAAAATTAACTACTAAATTTACTAAATACCTTGGAGGGAAGGGTAGAGGATAGATGAGGACAGGCAGGGATGGGATGGTGAAAAGTGTGGATTCTTTTTCATGTCCGTGGTCCAATTGCAAAAACGTATCACTCGTCAATCTGGAAAGCAGGCGATAATATAGCAAAAGGCTTCTGTATATTACTCCACGATAGTGTCGAATGGAAAATAATATATTTGTCCTTACACTGCAGACAAATCTCTTCTCGACGCATGCGATAACAGTTTTCTTAGTGTATTATTAACATTAAAAAAATATACACACAATATGTAGAGCACACAGTACAAATGCGATATGACCGATTGACCGACCATCGTGGACCGCAAGTATAATAACAATAATTATTATTATTGTCCTGGATCGCGACGGCCGTACTCTTGTGCGCAAACTTATTTGTTGTGGTTCTCTTTTTTTTTTCCATCTAATTCTAAACCGAACAATGTTGCGAACGTGTACTTAACACGGAATACCTATCTGGGCACACGGTCGCGTTTCTTATTCTTATGTTGTGCATAGACGTCACGCGCGCGCGACGACATAACCATTAAACAAAATAAAACAGAACCGAAGAACGTGACGTCAAAAATTCGAATAAGGGGACAGCGTGAAGCAAAACAAAAAAACCGAAACGATTATTGTAATATTTAAAAAAAAAAGAGGCGATGTCTAGTGTACAACCGAGAAGAAAATGAACGTCGGACAGCGATTAATAAATTAAACGTCTTTGAGCAAAAACCGAACCGAACCCCGTTAAGCACGTGTAACAAATTTGTCTTGAAAAAGATTCAATATTTTTTTCCGGGAAATCTAATCGCAAGGATCAACTCGATTTATGTAAAAAATCATTTTTCTTAATTATTTGGAAAAATATTTCAAAGAAAAAAAATGGGTTTTAATAGATACCGGTTAGGCTCGTATAAGCTTCAAGGTATTTGTTTTAGTTGAAATCATTTTTTCTACGAGTAAAAGCCATTTTGGTTTAGTTTAGACCAAAAAGCCAGCCAAATTTCGACTACATAAGACGGTCCAATTTCAATTTTGTAAACTTTGCACTTCTGTTAAAAAATTATTTTTTTTAAGTATATACTTACTACAATATACATGTTTAATATATTCTATACAACAATACTATGCCCTTGCCCATTTTAAAAATAACACGGTGATCGGTGGCATGGCGTTTTTATTTTTAAAAAAAAATACTAATGATCACGTCAAGTTCATTTATCACAGTTACCATGATACGAGTACAACACATTCTGTCGAGAGTTAATGTCGTAAAATTGCATTTTATTATACAGCACCGTCAAAGTGACGAGTATTTATATTTTCATGATTTCAAAAATAAGTTTAATTGCTGTCATTAAAATTATTGATATGACATTAGCTGCTTTGATGCTTGTGAGTTATGCACTAGTAAATATCGGATAAACGTTTAATGGTTAAAAGTAAAATAATATTGAATACGGATGTGCTACATGTATTGAACAGTTCAATTTCTTTTTTTTTTTTGAGTGGGTGGAATTCAATTTTGGCGCCTCTCGAAATGGCCACGGTAAATTACACGATTGAATTGGCTTCAGAAAAATATAACATAGCCAATATAAGTTTATACCCACTAAAATGAAAATTGTATTTTATCGTGAATAAAAAAAATATTTTATAATATAAAAAAAAAACTTTATGGATCACGAGGTCAGTCAATCGGTACCGTAAAACATGTGTTTAAAAGAAAACTTTAAAATAAATCCCATTCTAAAGTTATTGTTGATTAGTTTTTTTCAAATTCATACTACACTCCATGATTCCTCCTGTCCTAAATTTTATTAAATATACTATACATTACTATTTATGTTTCAAAAGTTGACAGCGCTCTGAGAAACAACAAAAAAGATAAATACAATGGAATATTGTCCAATATAATAAAACAATATTAGCTAAAGTGTCTCTAAAAATGAAAACAACATTATTTGTAAGTATAATGCAAATAAAAAGATTTACCATATACTTGTACTTTTATTATGGATGCATATATTTATATTTTATCTCATTAAAATTACCACTTTCTTAAGCCCGTTGGAAACTGGTCAAAAGAAAGCAATTAGTGTCAAGTAATCAGAGTGCATAGTTGCTTTATTTACAACCATGACAGATTAATTAAAAACTATTAGTTTTAAAATGTCATTCGCTACAATTTATTATTACACAAATAACCTACCCAAAACGAGCTGTCGTACACAGGTAGTTTCACTATGAATATATCAACAATTTTCATACATAGTACTTATACAATAATAATATAGACATCAATAACATTATAACTCTTACTTTTACTGCGTTTACAGCGATAATAACTAACACAATAATTAGACCGACCGTCGTTGTGCATATTTTTAACTAAGAGCCGTCGCTGATATTTAACTAGCGATAATATTTTCTAGTAGTTATTGAAATACATTTAAACAATAAATTTCCTAACCTATTGATATTGTGTTTGTTTAACAAGCTTAATGTTATACAATTAAATATAATTACACTTAAATATTAATATTATAAAAATTATTTTTAATAAATAATATACCATTATTTATATTTAATATTCCTTGTGTTAAAAAACTTGCGATGAGACACATTACACTTTTCAATGCATTAAATTACAGAAACACACCGTGGTCTATAACCGGGAACTAACTTAAAAATTTTATTAAATATAATATACGTCACTATTGAGGTTTTAAAA